GTTTTGTGCAAAACAAACTTACCGCCGTCGTCTTCATCGCTGGAGTCAACGCCCTCCATGAGCGTCTCACGTCCTCCATCGCCCTCCTCCGCCCGCCCCTCAGGCTCATCGTTGCCGTTCTCCAAACCTTGTTCGTCGTCGCTACTGTCTTCATCGTTAGCGAAGGTATACGGCTTGTCCAAACCCTCCAAGGTGATTCGATCATCGCCCGGGCCGTCCACGGTCATCATGGCCATCCCGCACTTTTCGAAAAGCCGGTATCGGTACGCCTGTTGGCTGTTGAGTCTTGCCATGGCCGCTCCCATCCACTGAATGATCAGGACGCGCCGATCAGAAGCTGTCAGCGACGCGGTTTCCCACCTCTCGAGGCTGTCCGACTGCTCGAGCCATATGTCCATCTGCCTCCCGACTTCCACCTTGAAAAATCGTCCGGCTCCAGCATCAACTGGCTGCATCTCGTCTGTGCACTCCGAAGGGCCATACCAGGCGAGAGTGTTGCAGTGCTTCGCAAGATACTCCTTGAACTCGTCCGTGGTCTGCGCGTGCAAGTTGTCCATGATAAGAATGAACCTCGCCTTGGGGAGCTCACCCCGCCCGCGCATCACGCTTTTCTCGGGGGCACCTAGGGGCACGACGCGTGCGTACAATGCCCACCCTCCCCCTCTAAAAAAATACAAATGTTGATATGTGGGGTATGTACCCCTCCCAAATCCAATACTCTGTACTCTGGGATCACTCCCCCCTCTTCCCTCCCTCCCCCTGCGAGTATTCTTATCTGGCAGCCGCTGCATTGCTGTCGTTCTTATTTGTAGCAGCAGTTTTGCACCTCAGGTGTGTGTTTTTGTTGCTAACAGGGCCTGCAGCTGAGCACGTGTTCTTATCGGTGAATTCTTAAGTTATGGATTTTTTTAGCATCAAATTCCCTATTCTTAAGTGCGGACTGGCACTGTGTATGGAGCAATTTACCGGGGTCCATGACATGCATATCGAGGGCTGTATATGCCAGAAGTCCCGGTCTGAAATCGAGTCCCGACTCCAACACGCTTATCTCCAGTGACAATCACAAGCCATTGACGTCTCACCGAGACCGCGAAGGACACGCTGGGACTATCGCGTTTCCGAAGAGCTTGGTACAAAAAATATAAGAATCTGCGCAGCGACAAAATGCGGTTGCCCGTGCAAGCGGGGTCGCAGGTCAGGCCTACATGCTATACGAAACAGCCCTCAGGGAGGATGGCACCTTCTCGCCGTATCACCACTGCACAGTCGGGAAGGTTATTCGTGTGAACAAATCTGGTGAAAAAGATGCTCACATAAAACCATGCTCCCCATCAGGATCCACCGCTTTGCGCTTGTGTTGCGGCACGACTTCGTCTGGTCCCCTGGATTTTGTGATCATTTGCAATTGTATCTAAAACAAAGAGGTCACGCGGGAACAAAACGCATGGCGTTGGGCACAAGGCACAAGGCAACCGGATGGCTGGAAGCAGTACGCTCGTATTCGGCCTCGAGTCTCGCGATACTTACCTTCCGGGTTGGCATGCTGCTTGTTGCAGAATACTTTCTGTCCATGTTGTTCAAAACACGCACGCAACATCCTCTGGCGGTCGTTCAAGTGCACGATTCGCCGCGAGATTTGCGCCAGACGCTGGAAAAGAGCAACTGGTTATGAAACCTACCTTCACACCAGTCACTTCATTTCTTCACGTCACAAATTCTGAAGCGGGGTCACTTGCAAAAGGCGTCACAGCGTACGTGGAGTTAAACGAAGTGTCGCTGATTGTTGTTTTCGGTACATACAGTGTCACGATGCTTTCTTTGCTTTTTGAAGAGTTCGTCTGGGGTATTGTACAGCTGTAGGATGCAACTCTTGCATGGCCTCCACACCGCGTTAGTACCACAACATATCATATTGGCTACAATAGGCGTCTATCGATGTCTGCTGACCATGAAAGGCGAAAGGAATGCGATGTCGATCCTGACAATGCCAACCGCAAAATAAACCATTATGTTCAGGTATATCTTGCTCCTTCTACTTCGACGTGTGTTTGCAGCGTTGATGTGTGGCATGTGGCACCCCATTTCTGTTCGGACGGTACAAGTTCCCTCTCAAAAACGTCGCAGTCCGAAACGGGGAGAAACGTTTCTCGAAAGTTAACATAACCTCACAGGAAGACTACCCGTTCGAGATTGATATTACCTCGGTCGAAAGGGATGTGGTGAAGTCTTTTCAGTAATAGTAAGTGGATTGAAACCAACTGGAGACTTGGCTTATTTTGAGTTTGTGTACGCCTAACACTGAGTGATCAGTAATGCCAGTTGGAGCCAAGAACAAAAGCATCTGTATAGTCTAGGCGTTACGCTACTTGATGATGCACGGCCACGTTGCGAAGCATGTGTTGCGTTCGGATGTTGTTGAAAATGTAACATAAAGTTACACCATTAGACCTGTCAAGGTTGACTAGTCTAATGGTGTAACGTTATGTTATAAAAGATACGCGCTCAGTTCATAAGCACCTTTAAAAGAATGCCCGCCCGACGGTGGCTTGCCTCCTAGATGTAGTAGATGTAGATTCTGCCGTAGACACTCTTGTCCACGAGCACGTTGAGATGGGAAGGTTGCTTGTTATTGCAGAAGCGGGTCTGCTACAGGTCTGAGGTGAGGCGGATTGCCCTCAACCTGGGGGCACGCAGATAGCTAAGTCCCGATGGGGTACGTCCTAAGAGGGTGTACCTCCTGACGTCCCCCATCTTAATCTAGACCGACTATGTACCCTATCTGTGCCATACAGCAACACTCCTTAACACTAGCCCACCCTGAAGATCATCTGTCTTATACTCAAATCATAAGGCTACAAATAGCTGATGATTTAGGATCATGAATCGAAAGATATGACTCTTCACAA